AAGATGGAGGGACAGCAGATACTCATCGATGACATGCACAAAATGTGCTATTTGAGAAGAGGTATCGATCGTAGGCTGATGATTTCTTACCCAGTGGCTGAATTATACCGTTGTCACTGGTTAACTAAAGAGTTCTGTTACCAATTTCTCACAGTGCTTGTTAGTATTCATTGTTTAAGATTTTCAGACTAATACGAAGTGGTACACTGATCTCTGGTTTAATTCAGTTCTTCTCTTTTTTGACGAAATTGATCGTTTCAGCAAGTAGCCGGTAGCCGATTTGGTCAGTTATATTTTAGCCGATTAAAAAATACCCATTAAAATGTTTTAAAAGAATGGTTACTGAACAAAGAGTAATTCCATATTAGTTTTTTTATTAGATGTATCACACAGTGAAACAGTGTTATTTGCTGGATGGCGTTTCGAACAAAATTTATTACTGTTCATAAAATCATATCAATTATAATCACACGACTTCGAAACTTGAGTTTTATAGTTTTCTTTGTCCTCTCCTATTTGACGTAGGGGTAGTAGAATTGCAGGGTATTAGATAAACTAAATTGTTTTGATAAAGAAAGGAAGACGAAATTTGCAGTATAAAATGATATCATTCTATTTCACAGGTTCTCATCAGCTGCAGACTACTTTCATGTTTGATTAGTAGTAGAGAAGAGATAAAATTGACGCATCCAAAAAAGAATGAAAGCATTACAATTTTTAGTTTAAGTTATCATCATCAATTTATACACTTTCAGAGTTGAAAAGAGGGGGGAGGGGTAAGACAGAAAACAGAAAAATTGATTAACAGAAACAGTGTTAGCTTGTAGGTTCACATGGCAACTCCAAAAAACAAAAGCATTTACAGTTTATAAGATTGAGATTTGCTCAGTGAGTTGAGATCACTGAATTAGATGACTCATCAAAATCAAAATTCAGTTACCAAGGGAGTGAGAGGTTAATCACACTCTCTTTCTGTATGCATAAGTCTGGTTTAAATCGTTTGATTGCGATCGCTTCGGCAAATCGTAGTAAATTTGCTGTCCTTTGTCTATTTAATATTTTGAAGGACTTAGAAATCTCTACGAGATGTCCGGTATCAACAATATGTCTGGTAATTGAACTCTGAGAATATTTGCTTCCTTTCAGGCATAGGTTTCTTGGAATATGTTCAGAAAACCGGATAGAAGCCCTTCTTTCTGTCCTTCCAATGTATACAACACCACTCCTTCCATGATCCACTCAAAACTGGATAAATACCCTGCTGATGTCACCTCCAACTGCGTTTATGAATTTACGTGCACTTGCGGGAGCAAGTACATTGGAAGGACAGAAAGAAGGGCTTCTATCCGGTTTTCTGAACATATTCCAAGAAACCTATGCCTGAAAGGAAGCAAATATTCTCAGAGTTCAATTACCAGACATATTGTTGATACCGGACATCTCGTAGAGATTTCTAAGTCCTTCAAAATATTAAATAGACAAAGGACAGCAAATTTACTACGATTTGCCGAAGCGATCGCAATCAAACGATTTAAACCAGACTTATGCATACAGAAAGAGAGTGTGATTAACCTCTCACTCCCTTGGTAACTGAATTTTGATTTTGATGAGTCATCTAATTCAGTGATCTCAACTCACTGAGCAAATCTCAATCTTATAAACTGTAAATGCTTTTGTTTTTTGGAGTTGCCATGTGAACCTACAAGCTAACACTGTTTCTGTTAATCAATTTTTCTGTTTTCTGTCTTACCCCTCCCCCCTCTTTTCAACTCTGAAAGTGTATAAATTGATGATGATAACTTAAACTAAAAATTGTAATGCTTTCATTCTTTTTTGGATGCGTCAATTTTATCTCTTCTCTACTACTAATCAAACATGAAAGTAGTCTGCAGCTGATGAGAACCTGTGAAATAGAATGATATCATTTTATACTGCAAATTTCGTCTTCCTTTCTTTATCGAAATTTATCAAGGGAACCAGTTGTATAAATTGTTTTGTTTTAAAGGCTCCACAGAATCCTTTAACCGACAAAGCTTGTTTCCAATTGAGTTTGTAGGTTTTAATACCACTTTTATTCCTACCTTGATAAGAACTCGGGCATAAGGTTTCTGAGGTTCCTTCCTTGTATGGAATTACTACTGATGATTTAGATTCCTTATTGTTGGTGTTGTCTTGCGCGTATTTGACATGTTTGACAGAGATAAAAGTGGCATTCAAACCCACAAACTCAATTAGAAGCAAGCTCTGTCGGTTAAAGGATCCTGTGGAGCCTATAAAACGAAACAATTTAGTTTACCTAATACCCCGCCTAAATGATTGTCAGGTCAAATACATAGGTCAAACTAGTAGAACAGGGGCAGTCAGACTAGCTGAACACAAAAACCTAGCAAAATCTCGATTGGTTGACCCGAATAAGATAAGAAATCTAGAGAATAGTTCAGCTATAGCACTACATGCAGTTACACACAACCACACAATAGGATGGGATAGGATGACAGTTTTAAAATCTAATGTCACATGGTATAGGGAGAGATTGATAACAGAAGCTTTGTTTATCGAATCAACTACAAATACATGTAATAGGAATGATTCATCACCTGTCCCAGATATCTGGAAAATTCTACTACCCAAACGACAAATAGGAGAGAACAAAGAAAACTATAAAACTCAAGTTTCGAAGTCGTGTGATTATAATTGATGAAATGATTATGAACTATGAATTATGTCCGAAAAGTCATCCAGTAAACAATACTGTTTCACTGTGTGATACATCTAATAAACAAACTAATATGGAATTACTTACTACCACAGTGCCCATGTTGTACACATATATGAACAAAGAGTACTCTTTTCGATAACTTTATCATCACGTTCTACAGTTATATATACATACCTAACAGTGAATGAATTAGTGTTATTAACAACATTAATCTTATTCAAATAACATCGAATTAATGATAATAATATCAATGGATTACAGTTCAATAGCATCAATATAACAATGCACACTGAATATCAGTGAAATTACGAAAAATAATAATAATACAAATTCATGAATTTATAGTCTTCACTGGAGGCCAGGCAGGGCAGTAGTAGTGGCTGGCTAGACTTGCTTCTTCTGACTGACTGTTTCACGGGAGTCGCGATAGCCTCTACTGTTTGTGGTACCTGGATGTTTTCGGGAATTTATTTGGTACCCGATAGATGATAGAGAAGGATTCTTAAGTTTTGGCTTTCTGGGCCGGTTTAGATCAGGTGACAGTTCTACATAGAGGTAAACTATCCATCACTATATTAGTTTAACGTAATCAAACATGTTTACAGCTGCATTGTTAGAAATTGCTTGTTTGGTTTTCAGGGAAATGACATCTTTCAAACTGACGCAGTTAGTGTTAAGGGATTTCAGTTTGGAGAATACGAAAAATGCCTGCGTGAAAATCACTGACTGGATATGTTGTCTCTTGGATTATACCCCAAACAAGTTTGTCTTGAGAATGTAACTTGCTATATACCTATGGAACGCCATAATGCTGTCCTCACCTCCTCTTATCTCGCAGATTAACATGCCTGAAACCGTGAAGATTAGTCTTGCGTTACAGAGCATCCACTGCGAGATGCCGCCCCAGGCAACCTAATACACTGCATACTCTACAATTGCTGATAATGCGTGTTTATTTAGTTATTATTAGCCCCTTTCAGGACCTCAAAAATTCAGCCTAAGCCCGAAAGCCCGGCTGATAACATCAGTCTTTCGACCGGTTATTTGGTGTTGGCAATCTCGCACTCAGCTCAACTTCATTGTACGAGTCGCTTCCCCACCACAAGGTTGGTAGCGTTGTAACCATTGACATTGACCCCTATAAATTTGGTCTACCATCCCACAAAGCAACTGTTTGCAAATTTCCCTTGTAATTCGACAATTTTGTGTATTCAATGAGGGCTATGTATGTTAAGTCAGACATCATGGTCGAATTGAAATTTAACATGATTATGATGCATAAAATAATAATGATAAAATTGAAACAAGAAATTTTGTGACGCCTGTTTATACTACTTATATTAGTTATCAGCGATCACTGACTGGGTTTGATAAAAAATAAGTGTCAGTGACTTTGTAGTTGCAAAATGATTAATTCATGGACAACTTGACGTCTGATAGGGACATACTGAGATTTAAGGTTATAGAAGCAGCATATTGATTTTTTATGCTGTCAAAGTGCTGATGAAAGCTAATTATTAATTTATACCAGTTTGACCACTTATTAACATCAGTTAGAGAACTATTGAAAACCAGCAGGGAGTACTGGATAGCTGTTTCACCCTAGTTTGGGAATCATCGGCAGTACGCACCCACCGCCACGGTTCGAACCCAGAACTTTCCGGTTACAAAGCAAGCTCGTATACCATTTCAGCCACTGGGGCCCGACTCAACGACCCATAATAGATTGTGAAATGTACAAGTATAACACTGAATGATAAAGATAACAGCACAAATAAGGATGATATTTACAGTCATTTAGTGTCACTAGATTAGAAAACACTCTAAATTGGCGGGGTGGCGAGGAGTGCACTGGGGTTGAAGGCTATGAGAAGAGACTGGATAGACATTTCCAGTAACATAAAAATTGTGCTGATCAATTTTTTCATGGAAATCTCCTCAGAGCTATCCTTAGCAATTGAAGGCTTATCGCCTTAGGGAACTGAAGTGATACCTTGTATACAATTGTAAAGGCTAAACTATTAATCAACTAGATGTGCGTAGATTATATAAACACGCATGAATTTATCATTGTGATTTACTGTAAAGACGATTTGGAGTTTTAAATAGTGTGAATCATTAACGATGAAATCTATGTTGAACTACTCATCACCAAGCTATAACAACAATTAGTTGGTTACTACGTGCTTTCTTCACACTAATACCAATTAATTCCTTTATCATGTAGGCTTTCTTTTAACCGCTTTTTCTCTCAACTTGTTTTTTCTTCTCCTGAATTTAGCCCTTCAAAATCACAAAAGAAAAAGTTATTCTCTTTCCCCTATACAATTGTACAATTCCCTATTAATACAGAGGATAATAATAATAGTAGTAATAATAGCAAAAAGAAAAGCACTACTACTTCCACTACTGAGGCCAGCAGTCATCATAATAGTAGTAATCATGAAAGAAATTCACCGAATTCCCTGTTGGATTCTACATCTACCTCGTTATCAATAGAGACTAAAAAATGGTCGAATACAAATTCTTCCTATGAAGATAATGATGATTATAATGAGGATAATTTGTCATCTACTCAAAATGATTTCGTGAGTTGAAAATTATCGCATAATATTTTTATATTATTTTACTCTTTTTTTCTAACATTCCTTTGCATGATAAGTGGAACATAAAACTTCAGGTTTTAAGGTTTGAATTTCCAGTAGTATCCGTACTTTTCTTTTATGGGGTGGGTTTTCTGTCCCCACACTCCATTTCCTCTCTCTCTTTACTGGATTTACTGCTGGCTAGGTGAGGTTTAGAGATGCGTCGGTGGAGAATCCAACTGTGGTTGGTGAGGGTTCCATCACTGAACCATCAACTTACCAAAAATTTAACGTTTTAAGTAAACCATATTATTATGATTATTATTCCTTTGCGTTCCGAGTGGAACATGGTGCTTCAACAACACATCACTTTGTTCTGTTCTCTCTTGTCCCCTTTAGCTGGGTCCACGATTGACCATAATCTCTCATCTTCTCTTCCTTACACCATCCCCTCCATGTCACCGTCACACTGACGACCCACTCGTCGCTTCCCACTGGGACTCCACTCGAGTAGTGGCCTGGTGCGTGAAGTCATTCGACGGCCTCCTCAACGTATGCCCGACCCACCTCCATTTTCTCCTGCATATTTGTTGAGCGATCGGCTCTTGGTTGACTGGTTCTCAGCCAGAGTTTCTTGTTGCTAATTCTTCCTGGCTATTTAATCTTCGGTTTGGAGCCAGCTAAAGGAGCAGCTATTGATAAATGTCTGTAACTTGTTGGAAATCCTTTTCGTGACGCGCAGTGCAAGTTTTTGACGCTTATATAAGAACTAACTGACTTCACATTTGTATTGAATAATCCGAATCTTTTTCTTAGTGCTGTGGCGGAGTTCAAAAGATTTCCAAACTGGTTTCAAGTTGGTGAAGGTGGATCTTGCCTTTCCAATTCTGGCTGTCTGGCTTTGACACCTTCATCCGTTTCGCCCGCCTGAGGTTGAAGCCGTGCTTCTTGTATAAGTGAAGGAAGTAACCTCAGTAGGCCACAGGTATCAATGATTTGTTTGTCTTCTTGTTATGTGATTAGCAGAGGGATAATCTTGCAGGAACAGACTGTTGTGTAGATAATGTGCGAAGGCAGGTAATTCATAAAGCTTAAAAAGAATCGCTAAGAGAAAAAAATAACGAACAGAGAAGTAGTGTGTACTTATATCGTCTACGCTTATTCCTAACTTTTCTTTTGGAAAGTTTCATCAGTTCTTATGGATTAACTGCTGACGAACTCTCAGCACGGATACATAAACTTTATTTGGCATTTGACAACTTACATCATCTCTGGTGTAAACTTGACCAACATACGTGTGGAATGCTCAACAGTTCTCTCTGACCTCCTTTTTGACTGGGAGACACGGTCACTGAAATTAGGAGATATGGAGAAGCTAGATGTACCTCACCACAGGTGTTTGCGTTCTATCACTCGCGTTAATTGGCATAGTATGTTGAGTAATATCGAGGTTAGGTGTAGAGTAGAAGTCAATCGATGAGGTTGAGAAGCCACATCGATTGAGATGCCTAGAACACGTGTTACCTATCCTGAATCATCGCCTTCCTTGTCGACCAACGTTAGCTGACATAGTAATAGGTTGGAAAAAATTTAGGCGTGATCAAACCAAAACTTAGCATCCCTCCATGAAGGCTCTGACTATTGGTCTCAGCCATGTGGGGAGATAGATTTATGCTGTCTGGTTGAGGTTCTTGAGAGACTAAGAACTGATGTCTGGAGACTGTTGGTGATGTGGCTCACAACGGTTCTCACTGGCGCAGATGCATTTACTCTTCGTAATCTCCCAGATTCACTCAACCCTCCTGTTTTTTCCATGTTTAAATTTTTTCTCCTCTACATTTCTGGTCATTGTGGTTCCTTTCAATTTCTTTTATCTACCTTTGTTTGGTATATGGAGAGTGGCATGGTTCTTTGCTTTAATTCAGTTAGTCAGTCATTTAATGAGTTCTCAGTTAGTTTCTCAACTAGTCCTTCATAAAATTAAATGAAGTAGGGTATTTACACACTATGCGTTAAACCTACCTCAAAGTCAGCATTGAATACTTAGGAAAAGTTACAGTAGACGTTACATTTCTGTTATAAAAAAAACTTGTTGATCAGCCGGGTTTCCTTGCTCAGATGGTAGATAGGTGATCTTGTAATTCTGAGGCTGCTTGTTTGAATCCTGCCAGGACTCAGATTTCCAGTCAACACCCGTGACATCACTAACAGTCTTCCCAGTACAAGGCTATCTCAGACAGTCTCGACATCATCAAACAACCTTCTCATCTGCTTGTAATTCAGTGTACTTAGGAATGATAGGAGATGACGCGGTTAGTTTAATGATAAATAGGAAGTAGCATGTCATTCATTCACATGACATCTGAGTATTACTCTTCATGATATCCGTGAAATAATGACCCAGTTGTCAGTTGATCCTCGTAGCTGAACCAGTGGAGTTTCCAATATAGAGCTTTGCACTAAAGTGTGAAATTCTAATTTACCATACTTCATAAAGCACATATGAAGGTAGAAATAAAATTCAAATGAACTATGATAAACAGCAATTAATTTGTGTAAGAACCACTCCACAGAAAAAAATTAGGATTTAATACACCTCGAGATTACAGTAATTGACTCGTAGAGTCTCGAGGAGGTTAATCAGTCAGTGTATGTTGTGGCTCAAACCAGCAGTCTCAGACAGTAGATTAATGCCTTTTTTGGTATGACCACCCTTAACTCCTTTCCAAACTAATCCTATATCAGACAAAATCGCTTGACGAGGAAGGCGATGACTCGGGCTATGTAATGCATGTTCTAACCATCTCAGTTGATATGGCTTCACAACCTTATCGATTGATTCACCCTTCTTATTTAACACTCTATTTTTTTTTTTTTTTTGATTTTTTGATTTACAGCTTGATTCCACACCGTATTTTCAGTACAAGTGTGGAATTTTCAGCATGGATATCGGTTGCCCAAATTCAGGCATACCATAGATATCGAGTGTGCGCCGGCAGGGGCTCGAACCCCGGACCATGTGCATGGTCGGCGAGAGTCCTAACCACTGTGCCACCGACGCACATCTAACCTCATTATTATCGGCGATGTTATACCACTTAATGAGAGAAATTGAACGTGAAATCCTGATTAGTCACTTGACGACCTCTGGTTGGAATCCTGTTTCAACCTGGGTGTTTACTCCGCGTGCAATTTACATTTGCATATCACTGAATGTTAATCAGTTATATGCAGAATCGAACTAAGCCCTTCTACTTAAAAAGCTAAAAATGAAGTGTGAGAATTCAAAATGGATGCCTCTTATCGCCGCTTTTTTATCGGTAAATGATATACAGAGTACTGGAATCATTTTTTGAAGAAAACTGGAGATTGACAATGTCTTAGGTTTACAAAATGGAGATGTGTGATGTATTAAATTTTCATCATTATGAAATGATTCATATGAAGAAGTCAAGTAAAAGTAACCATTATTATATAATTGATTATTGAAGGAATTTAAAGTTAATTTTTCTTTATGGAACATCTGTTTGTTTTCCATCATTTTAATTAGTGTGTGTTCACTAAATTTGGATTTCTGGAGGAGTCTCGTCCCATTTGAAATGGATGCATCCGCTCCTTAGTTTATGTAGTTCTGTTACAACTGGGACTCGAACTCATTAGCCATCTCTGGGTTCCGCTGTTAGCCCCTACCCCAACAAAAAAGTTGACTTCTAGTTCGCTGTCATGGTAATATCGGGGCATCTGTTCATCAAAGAACTCATATGCCGAAATAAAGGTCGATCTATTTGGTTTAGATATTTCAACGGAATATCAGAAGTGTGAATAAATAATTTTAATTCTACAGATTCTTTTCGTCTTCCAGATTTTAAGATAGTGTGTTTTTGAAAGTCTGCAATGGAGTATCTAATTCATGTTGATGCATTCTGTGATTTTTAAAAACTTTTCTTATTATTCAGTCTGATGATAAATCACTTCCGGTTGGTCATAACGGTCCACTGTTCTCAACAACTACGTTAGAAGTCCTTCGATTAATTGGTAAGATTCTTTTGAATTTCATTTAATCAGGTTATGCTAAAAATTAAATTTAAATTACATCTTATCGCTGTTTTCCAAGTCTCTGCACCATTGGGTTTGTTAAAACAATTGTTTTGAACTCTCGCATGCTTACGTGAAGATTTGAGTTTTTTAATAGTATTTTTCAAACTACTATTTACATTATAAGTAGGATAAAACGATCAAATAATAATATTAGTACTTAGATTATGGGTTCTTGCAGGGTTTTGGATTAATTTCAATGTAGATTTGAAACGACACCTAATCTAAATATCAATCTCCAACTGATTGATGGCTACCGGATTGGTGTCCAGAAACTGTACTCAGGATTCTCCACCAATGATGTCCACCATACCAAGGTGAAGTTACTGCTTGTCGAATTTATCAGTTGGAGGTAGGCACTGTATCACTAATTGACAAAGAGTCCCAAACTAGGACGAAACAGCTGTCCAGTACTCCCAGGTTTTCCAATGGTTCTCTACCTAAAGTCAGCTCATGATGAAATCCTGAAACCAATCAAATCCCTACAAACCAACACTTGAAAAGTTAGCATTCACGTGTCATTGAATTCCGGCTAGCTAGGTCTTGTAACCTGAGGGTCCGGATCGTGATACCTGGTTGCATCGTTGGTGTGCACTGATGAATAGTCACAAAATGGTACGGAACTGCTGTTCAGTGCGTCTTGATTTTCAATTATCTCTAGCTGTTTTTGGTTCGGGACGATATCTACATTGAAATTAATAAAAAATTACGATTGCTACTTGTAACAGCATGTCCTTATCTTTATCGAGAGTTATTCAGCCCGAAATGAATGAAGTAGAAAGGCACCGTCAAGTTGCTAGATCTCTCGCCGTAATGAGTAGGAGCAAATGAACAGCTGAAAAGTTAACAGACATTATAGAGGCATCCATTCATAGAACGCACATTTCCTCTCGTGAATAATAACTGTGTGTTCAAACTCCTCTAGAAGGTAACACTAGATCATATTCACTGGCTGGAAGTTTGCGATCACGGTTCAGGATTCCAGTGTACAAAGCTTTTGTCTATGGAAAGATAGTTACTGGCTCCAAGTTTTATTGTGAGAACTTTTACACAGTATTGGTGTGTTGCTTAATTCTATACATTCCATCTAAGGTTTACTCGCCTATAGACATCAAACTTTTCTTCAACCTAACAGTTTATTTTACTTCTTTGTTTTCTCTCGAACAAGCCGATATCTTTATTGTCAAAATATTTGACACACGTTAACGAATAATTGATCTAATGAATTTCTGCCATGTATACAATTCATCATTTTAATCCAATAAGTTAGTCACCTACTACTACATACTACTGATTGGTTGAAGTGAGTAGTTGCATATCACTGACATTAACTAGTAGTGATTGCTAGCCATATCGAAGTTATCTTGCCACTTGACGGCTGTTTCACTCATTTGGGGCGGAGCTCATCACTGGTGTACCCGGTTCGAACTACCTGACTCTTCAAACCTTTAGGAATTGATGTCGCATACAAACCAACAAAATCACTTCACTCAGCTCCCTGTCAGCCAAAAGACTTAACAGCGAAAGAAGATAAAACCGAAATCATCGACAAAATAAATTGTAACAAATGCCAAAGTGGACGTCTGCTTCGCCTTCGTATCTATCAACATAAACTAGCTGTCAAAGGACATGACATCCACTCGCTCGTATCACCTCAATGCATACAGACAAGCACGGACACCAATACGACTGGGACAAAGTTCGTATATTAGACAGAGGAAAACCAAGAATGCTGGAGAATTTTTTAGAAGCCTGCCTGGTATCCCAGTGAATCGTCAATCAATAGACACATCGACATAGACAACATTTACCAATCGATAAGAAGGAAATCTCATGTACAAAGGGTCAAACGTCAAGTTAAGGAAACAATCAATACGAATACAAGTAGACTAGAGGGTGTGAAAACACATAAAGACAACCAGTTATTTTCCAGGTCCTCAAGGGAAATGACTAATAAACTCGTGAAGAAATCTAAAAGCTCACCTCAAATTGAAGTATGCCCTGAAGGAAGATGTTGCCTAGTGGTGGGGCAATGAAAGCTTCACAAGCAAAACCATCCAGCTAGTTCAGAGAACGCAACTACATCAAAATCATCCACCTGAGCTGCAAATCTTCTCCGTCTTATCTAAACCACCTGATTTCTGGATAGCTAATTGAGTCAACTGGTAATCCCATTAATCAAATTCACAATTTACACACTTTGAGGTGATTATCTCACTACATTACCGAAGTCATTCAGATTGTAGCGTGTTGTCTGCTTGATGTCATAAGTAGTAATCAAGAAGTTAAGGATGTGAGTGGTGCACAACTACTCATATCAATCAATCGATCAGAACTGTGTAGCTTCATGCATGTATGCTTGCTTGCTTGATTACCATTCGTATCACCTATACTGTGGATATGCATAATTTAGGTTTCTAAAAGAAAGTGTGGTGAAATCTGACCTCGAACTGTGTAAATTGCAAGTCCGATGACTAGTTATCTGTATAGTGTTCACGTAATGCCATTCATTAAATTGACCTGTAGCGGGTTTGATCTACTATATTCTTTCTCTCTCTCACCCTCTCTCTCTGTTTCCCATTGAAAACATGCTTCCCTTACCTCTAAAACTATGACCTTTGACCTTGTACTACTTATCATATCTATCTATCCTCTTTTCCTTTCATACGACCTTCATATCAGGTCATTACCCTTCAATCTTTGTTTATTGATCCAATTCACTATTCCCTTTGTGCCAACTTACCACCTTATCTAGAGTCAGATTATTTGTATTATTCCATTGGGTTACATGAATGCATTGTTCACTCGCACACATGCACACACACACAATTGGTGGTTGCCTTGATAATTTTCGATAAACTAAGAAAGACCAAACACATTTGCAGGATAGCAAAGAGTCTCTTTTCGACTAATTCATTCACTTAGCCATACAATCAAATTTATATTTATAATTATTCGTGTGTGTGTGTATGTGTGTAATGCTGGAGCTCTAACTATTCAAATAGAGAAACCGGAAGTATGCATACCAGAGAAAATTACTCAACCACTCCTAATATAATGGTAACAAATGCATTGATTTCTACCAACTTGATTTTTGTTAACTCCTTATAACACTTGTAGTATTTTATAGGTTTCCAGGCCGTAGGTGTTACGAACTTCCTGCAATAATTTGAGCGCCGAGTCAGATTGATTCATTATAAATTATTGAAATTAATCCCAGCGTCTTAAGGAAATCAAAACAAGATTTTCCTGAACGTTTCGCTGTGTAAGCCACAGCTTCTTCAGCAGATTTATTCGGATTTTTTATTAGTCATCAAAATATATAGTCAAAAATTTTTTTACATAACTTGAAGTCAGATTATTTGAAGGCCATTTGTCCATGGACATTTTTACCAATAAAAAATATGTAAGCAGTCATCACATATATTTGTAATCACTAATGTCAAATTGCTGTTGTGTTCACTCTTCTATGATTGATTTGTATAGATTAGTTTTGTATGAGTGTGTGTGTATGTATGTTATTTGTCATTTGGAAAATACGTGAATTCATATGTGATAAACATGATCCTACATGTTTTAAAAGGTCATGGAAGCTCATATGGTGTTTATTGTTTTTTCATCTGTCTTGCTTCATAAGAGTTTGCCATATGTAGGTGACAAGTCTATCTCTTCTTTCCTATTCACTGCATTCGATGTGGTTAAGATGTGCAAGGCTTCAGAAGTCAATCTTTCTTTATGTGAATGAAATCCTCCTCCAAGAATTTCGACATTGTCGAAATCAATCTTATGTCCGCTGTCTATCGCATGCATTGCTATAGTCGATCTTTTTTCTAGACTTTTTAGTTCTACTTCATTTCTAGGTGGATGTTTCGTGCATAGTCTATGTTCATTCACTCTGACCTTCACCTGCCTACTGCTCTCCCCTAAATAGCATGCATCACATTCTGAACATTTTATCTTGTAGACACAATTACTTTGTGACATTTTGGGAACTATATCTTTAACATGCACCAGCGCTTTCTCCAGAGAATTAGAAGGTTTGACATAGACTTTAATATTGTATGAGGTAAATAGTCTTTGAATTTGTTCAGCTGTGTCCTTTCTATATGGGATGGCTATCGTCGACTTTGTTTTCATTTTTTTTCAATTTTTTGTTTTCCCTTATGCTCCTTTCTATTGATAATATTATCTAGTAGCTTTTCAGGATAACTTGTAGTATTTCTTTAGAACTATTACATAATTCTATATTTTCTTTCGTTTCTACGTTCATCCTGATCACAACTCACTGATCAAATTATTCGTTTTTATGACACTCATTCAACTTCTTTTATACAATGGCTAAGATTGAAAACATAAAACTTTTTCATCCCGTTCCCTATATCTTATTTATCGGGTTTAATACTTCTGTATATTAACAATGTTGGATTCACATTTGAAGGCGATTGCTTCCGTTTGTTAGGGCCCCTTCTAGCAGATATTTATATGTCGTACATTGAGAATTTATCGGGGGATTTAATCGAAAATGTGCCATTTTATAGAAGGATGTCGATGACATTGTAATCACAACTGATAAACCTCGTTCTGCTACCTCAATTTTAAATCGAATGATGAATGGAGTTAAGAACAGCATATCACTTACGTCTGTGGCAAAGGAAGATAATTGTTTATCTTTCCTAGATATATTACTTAGTCGACGGTCTAGTGGACCAATAAAAAGATTTATTTATGGAAAACTCACCTTGACAGGACAGTATCTTAACTAACACAGTTTCTGCCCTGTTCGGTACAAAAGAGCCTAAGTGAGCGAGGTGCCCCTTCGGTAGAATCCAACGAATATGCACTGAAGACACACACTTGATGAGGAAGAAAGAAAGTTGATACAAACTCTGGTTAATAATAATTATCGAGACAAGTTCATTAGGAGATATAAAGTAGCCGGA